TTCTATCTACTTTTCTCAACTTTATTTAATACTTTACCATGGCACAAGAAAGCCAGTTAGGCTGGAGAAAACATGTTTATCATCTCCAGTTGCAGAAAAAGATGATAGCCTTGGGTTTTAGTTAATCCAATGGACCATGGTTCTTAAACTGTTCAGAAGATTCCCACAGAGCTATTCTATTTTCTCTCTGAACTGATGCTTTGGAGAGTAAGGCTCGGTATTGCCTTACCATTATGCCTTCTTACTGGGCTTGGGTTTAATATGTGCTTGTATGTCTTTGGAAGATGAATGAAGTCAGTTTAAATCAGTTGGTCATTTGTTGGTTTTGTTGGCAATCATAGACATGGCCTAGACTTGATAATGATGAGAATTTCTCTTTGTTTTACCAGTAGGGTACATCCTATTTTATTCCTCTGGTATTTTCTCTGAAAATATTTTATTGTCTATTTTATTGCTCTGATATTGGTGGGCAAGTAGATTGATCTGTAACAGAATCAGAATGAAGAAGTACCTCTTTTAAAAGATCGGCACCAAAAGCACTCCAACTTTGTAAGTGTAATAAGTTGTATTATGGTAATGGTATTTAAGGGATGTGTTATTTAAGTCTGGAAATTGTTATTTGGTTATTTTGCAACATTAGTTACCCTGTAAAAGACGCTTTGGTAATAGACCTGATTGCTAAGAATCTATTCTTATTTTGACATTGAAACCCTAATACAATAACCTTTTATTTTATTTTAATTTTTAAATTAACATACTATACAATTAACTTTCTTTTTGGCATACAGTTCTATGAATTTTAACACATATATACATTCATATTACCACCACCACAATCAATATACAGAACAGTTGCATCACCCAGAAAATTTCTTCATGCTGCCTCTTTATAGTCAAACCCTCAACTGTGGCAATCATTGATCTCTTTTCCATCTCTACAATTTTGCCTTTTTGAAAATGCCACGTAAATGATATCACATAGTATATAACCTTTTGACGCTGGCTTCTTTCACACAGCAAAATGCCTCTGAGGTTCATCCATGTTGTATGTATCAATAATCCCTCCCTAAATTTTATTGCTAGATTGTATTCCAATGTGTGGATACACCACAGTTTATCCATTCACCAGTTGAAGGACATTAGAGTTGTTTTCAGTTTGGGACTATTACAAGTAATAGACATTCGTGTATAAGTATTTGTGTAAGCGTCGGTTTTCATTTCTCTAGTGTAAATACCTAGGAGTGAGGTTACTGGGTCATATAGCATACTATATACAAGAAGCTGCCAGGCTGTTGTTTTTTTTTCAGGCATGGTTTTTTGTTTTTTGTTTTTTTTATTGGGGAACAGTGTGTTTTTCCAGGACCATCAGCTCCCAGTCAAGTAGTTGTTTCAATCTAGTTGTGGAGGGCGCAACTCAGTGGCCCATGTGGGGATGGAACCGGCAACCTTGGTGTCATGAGCACTGTGCTCTAACCACCTGAGCTAACCAGCCACCCCTGCCAGACTATATTTTAGAGTGGCTGAGCCATTTTCATTCCCACCAGCAATGTAGCAGAGTTCTGTTTATTCCACATCCTCATCAGCAGTTAGTATTGTCATTTTCCCTCTTAATTTTAGCGGTTCTAGTAGATTTGTATTGGCACCTCATTGTGGTCTTAATTTTTTTTTTCTTTTTAGCAGCTGAGTCATCCTACTACCTGTTGGAAGCTCAGCGGCTGCTCAGCTCAGGCTGGACTCGAACCGCTGTTGCTCAGAGCTCGAATCCTTGAGCGAGCTCTTAACCAACTGAGCCACTCGGCCGGCCCTTAATTTGTATTTTTTAATGGGTAATGATATTGAGCATCTTTTTTGTGTTATTTACTAATTGTATATATGTTACGTGACTCACGTCTGGTGTTGCTTGCCACCCAGCGCCCAAAAACTTGAGTGACAAGGGCTGGTGAGGAGAAAAGCGTACTTTATTCTAGATACTGGCAGCTAGGGAAGATGGCAGACTAATGCCTAGGAAAAAACCATCTTCCCTGAACTGAGAATAATCAAGAGGTTTTATAGTCAGGCAGGCAGGTGTGGGGGAAAGAACAAAGAAAAGTGGGAGTTGGTCATGTAAGTTTCAGGGCTGACAGCTGAGAAATTGCCTCCCGTGGCCTGGTCTGCTTCATATACTGTTATCTCGAACTCAGCAGCTGTGGCTGGAGTGTGTCATGTGTCATCAGCAAAAGCTGCAGGCGAGTTGCAACCATGGCTCCCAGTGTCTAGGCACCTGAGAGTTGAGAAATGGTTCTTTCCAGGTTAGTGCTCTGCTGATTAATTAGATCAACAATGCATGTATAGTCTTAAGAAAGCAGAGTCATTAAATCAAGCAGTGAAAGGGAAAAACAAAGACAGCTGAATAGCAAGCCAGGAGGTGACTGAACTAAGTCTAACTAAGTTATTAATTTCCTGAGTTTTACCCTTACATATCTTTTTTGGTGATGTATCTATTCAGATCTTTTGCACATTTAAAAAAAATTTGGGTTGTTTGTTATCTTGTTGAGTTTGAGAGTTATTGATGTATTCTAGATACAAATCCTTTGTCAGATGTGATTTGCAAATATTTTCTCCTATAGCTTTTTAATATTTTTCACAGAGCAAAAGTTTTTAATTTTGATGAAGTGCAATTTACTTATATTTTAAAAGTGAATCTGATATTGGTGTTATATCTAAAAATGATTTGCCTAACTTAAGGTCATGATTTTCTTATATTTTTCTTCAAAATTTTTATAGCCTTGTGTTTTACATTTAGATCTATTGTCCATGTTGAGTTAATTTAAATATAAGGTGTGAGGAGTATCTCGAGGTTCTCTTTTTTTTTACCCTTGCATACCATTTGACACAAATATCACTATAGTTATCCAAACAGGTGACATTTGGACCTGTCCCACATGTGTGCCATCCAGGGCCCAGTCTGAGACCTGGGCAGTGGTCTACCCCCCGGGTTCAGCTCTCCAAGCCTTTTTCACGCTATTTAGGGCCAGGTCCATGTACAGGTCAGGGGCACTGCACAACTTTATGGGATCACTTTCTTGAGCTCCCATCTCTCTAAGATCATCTCCCCGACAATCTCCAGCACAGGACTCTCTCCCCCTTTTCCTGGTCCTCTGACTGGAGAGCCAAGAGTGCAGTCTCCCCGCTCTGCTGGATACTTCCCACAATTAGGTCCACCTCCAGAACTAGAGAGGGAAAATGCAACGTGGGTTCCCTACCCCACCCCCTCTTCTGACCACAGTTTTTCTGGTCAGAGAGAAGAATTCCCACTGTCAGAGTCTTAGGTGCTTGCTCAGTCACTGCTGCTACCCCTCCGGCCATGAGGTTGTAGCTTTGGGAGTGCCTGGGGCAGGGCCGGAAGAGAAAAAAGAAGCAGGGTCTCCCCTACTTTTCCTATCCCCCTTCCACTCCTGAGGCCAGAAAGAGAGCGCTTCTCTTGGAGATTTTTCTGTCTGTGCCCAGGGTGCAGCTCTGTGGTTTGCATGACCATGGGTCCAAGAGGGAAGATATGGAAAGAAAAAACAAAAAACAGAAAAATCAGGAAACCCTGATTGTTTATATCTTGAGTTTGGGTTTTCTTCCCCAATATACCTGCTATCATTTACTTCTCAGAGTTCTCAAAAAGCTGCTCCATGCATTCTGTCCAGAGATTTTACTCGCATTTGATGAGAGAGAGTGGGATGGAGTTACTTAATTCATCTTAACCAGGACTGAAATCCCAAATCTTTAACGTACTGTAAAGTGGAAAGAATTGTACAATGAACAATTATTATCTATTGCCCAGGTTCAATAGCATCTTTTAAATAGCATGTCTAAGAATTGCCATGTTTCTAATATATTAAATATGCTACTGGTTTATGTCACAGTGCAAGTCAATTCCCAGAATATTTTACCAATTTGTTTTCTTTGAGGCTTTTTCCATTTGGAAGCTTTTTGTAACTTGCCTTGTGAGACTGAAATGCTGTCAGGTGAAAAGTATAGTAATTTCTGATGTTATCTCTGTACCCTGCCTTGAAAGGTTCACTAAGTTAAATATTTCTATAAATAATTTAATTATTCAGAGTGGCATTAGTATGTAACAAAATGATTTTTTATAATAATTTAAGCAATGCCACATTTGATATGATCCGGAAGCTTCTTTATCTGTGTGATGAGCCCTGAATTTGACTTGGCAGATCTGTCTTATAAATCCTAACACCTATTTGCAAAAAGCCAACAATTGAAACTCCTTCACCATCAGTACTTATTCAGTGCCTGTTGTAGGTAAGTCTCAATGCCAAAAACTAGGGATTCAACTAGATGTAAGTTCTTGCTACTCAAAGTGTGGTCCTGGGACAAGAAGCACTGGCGTTTCCTGGGACCTTGTTGGAAATGCAGAATCTTGGGCCCACCCCTGCCCTCTTGAGTCAGAGTCTGCGATTTAACAAGACCTCTAGGTGACTGTGTCGGGAAGCACTGGCATGAGACACAGTCCCTGCTTTAGGGGACCTTAAATCTATTGGGAGAGCAACGACTGGGATAGTAACAGATGTGTGCCATTCACGGCACTGCATGCCATGGATCAAATGCATGGCCCAGACACTGAGGACTCCAGGTTCAAAGTAGGTGGCATCCCCAAGTCTTGGAGGAGACAGACAAGGTACTCGTAATTGGAGGCTCTTCCTCCAGATGTGAACAAAGGATCCCAGGTGGAGTGCAGGTGATGCTCAAAGGATAATGAAAAGCATTGGCTTTCAGAGCTTCTTATTGCTGGGAAACTCCTCAAGTGCAAGTGTTCTCCAGGGGAAGTCATTGACCTTCTCACCTATGACCAGACTGGTAATGAGGACAGGTTGTCAGTGACAGTGGGCATTTTACACTTTACAGAGCATCGTGTACCAACCATGATTGTAATAGTGTAATCCATGACACATGCTCATAAACTGTCTCAGGCATGTCAGTTTGATATCAGAAGACTTAGTTTTATGATGGTTCTTGTGGGGTAATTGACATCTGTGAGCAGTAATTCTTTGCCTATGAGGAATGATGGCTCCACTCAGAACTTATGGTTTCAGAGGCTCAAGTTGTCTGCAGCTTGAATTCATGACTTTTGGGTTTTATGATCAGTGTTTGAAATCTTTAAGTGTTGGCAGCTTTGAAATTAGGAATGCCTTCTTAGGGAAAATTTGAGCTCCTATCAAAACGGGGTTAATCAGCTATCCCAAATATTTCTGGCCTCTTTTTTGACCATGTGTGAAACTGGATTTTGTATTACTAGAGCAGGCTAAATTAAGGGGTGGAACTGTATTTAGGGCACATTTCTTGAAGAACCTCACCTAGTTATTAAATGAACATCATTGATTCTTGGGAAAAAGAGTGCAGAAATTGGTAAAGATTTTCTTTATACTGGAAATGTAAATATATAAATAGATTTAAATAGACTATGTAGGCCTAACTATATAGTACACATCAGCAACAATATAACTTTTTTTTCTGAATATTTTCTACTTATGGTTGGTTGAATCCATAGATGTGGAACCTGCAGATATGGAGGGCCGACTCTGTGTGTGTGTGTATACGAATGTGTGTGTGTGTGTGTGTGTGTGTGTGTGTATTTTATATATATATGAGTTTTTTAATCACTGCTTATTTTATTAAAAATGGGATTATATTATATTTTATCTGCATCTTATTTTCTACATTTAACAGCCACCTCATGGAAATGTCTCTGAGTCAATTGTTATAACTCTAATTCATGATTTTTAATTGCTGCACGATGTGATATGACTGTTCCCTAATTTGTTCTGCATTCCCATATCAATGGATATTTACCTTGCCCCCAGTTTTAGGGTTGCAATTAATATCCTTACTTATATAACATTAGTTCCTAAAACTTATTTTCATGGGATAGATTTCCTGGAGTAGGATTGCTGGTTGTATTTAAATTTAATAGATATTGACAGATTGCTTAAACTTTAATGTTTTCATTTCCACTAATACCTTAAGAGAGCACCTTTTATGGTCCATTTTTCAATTGGTTTAATTGCCTTTTTCTTGTTGATTTGTAAGAGTGCTTCATATATTAGAGAAACTAACCTTTTAATCTTTATTAAGAAACATTTGAAGAACATATTGTTTGTTTATTCACTTGGTTTACTATCAGTCTTTCCTTTTATAACTTCTGGATTAAGACATTGTACATTACAGTCTAGAGTTTCTTCTAATATATTGTTTATGTGTTTTTTTGTGTGTGTGTATGAAATAGGATTTAATTTTATTTTTTTCCAGATGGAGTTACTTGTGCCTATATCATTTATTAAATATATTTATTTTCCCATGGAATTGAAAAACATCTTTGCTGTATATCAAATTCTCTCCCTATTTCTTAATTTTCAACAGTTGAGTATTAACTTGGCTTTGGTGATTTGAGATCATGTGTTGTGGCTCCTCCAAGTGATGGGTTCTTTTCTTCTCTCTTCTTGGGGCAGCATGGCTTGACAGGAATTCACCTTGCAGCCTGGTCTGGAAGCCTCGAGATCATGCTCATGCTGGTTAGAGCTGGAGCAGACCAAAGGGCCAAGAATCAGGTAGGTATGTGGGTCACACTGAATATCAGCTCTCACCTCATAGTGCAGGAGGGGGAGGTCCTGCGATCACTGTATAATTATCTCCTCTGCCCTGTCTCTCTTCAGGATGGAATGAATGCCCTCCACTTTGCAGCTCAGAGCAATAATGTGCGTATCATGGAGTACCTCATTCAAGATCTGCACCTGAGAGACCTGGACCAGCCTGATGAGGTGTGCTTGCTGTGGTAGGACAGGTCTCACCTACACCCCCACCAAATTCCGCTTTCTTTCTGCCCCTGCTAGAGTTTCCAAAGTAGCCAGCACAGACAAACCTGGCCGACAAACCTGGCCCTGTAACCAGCTCCTCCATCACCCTGACAGACCTCATAGCGGAAGGGAAGTGTGGGTGTTGGTACTGGTTCTGGAACCTGCATGTGGGGAGGGCAGGAAGTAGTAAGGAAGCCACCAGATTTCTTCTTCCCTCTCTACTTCCTCATCCTGGCTGGGGCGTGGACAGTCTCCACCCTGTTTGGTATTCAAAATAGGTGAATGCATTTTACTTGATTATGCCTGGCCTTTTTGGAATATATCTGACCCAAGGCTCTGCAGTAAAGAGCTGTAGAATATAATGCAATTTTATCATATTTGTCTATATTCCTTTTATTTTCATAAGGAGATATATAATAATAACAGCTACCACTTACTGAGTATTCATTAATGTGCTAGGTACACAGGAAAACTCCTTACATACTTTATTTCAGTGAGAGGCTGGGACCTGGCACATATGGGTACTTAATAAATCATTGCTGAATGAATGAATTATCCTGTCAATCCTCACAATAGTCCTATAAAGAAGGAAGTATTTTGCTTATTTTTAAAGGTAAGGAAGTTGAGGCTCAGAGAGGCTAAGTATCTGATCCAAAGTTTGCAAACCAGAAAGTGACAGAGCCAGGATTTGAGTTCTGGTCTGGCTGACTCCAGTCCCTGTGCTGCACTATGTCGCTTTTCAGATGACAGTGGGCGTTGCCCATGTTTTAGGACTGTTTTTTTTCTCTGCAATATTTCCCTCTAGGCATTTTTAAAAATAGGGTTGTATTCTCTGTGGTGTTGACTTTTTTATTTTGAATGGGACCACCTTTTCACTGTGCCTCTAGAATATTATTTTCCATAAAAGTCACTCTAGAAGTTAATTAGTAACATTTACTTCATTTTACCTCTTTTAAAAAAAACTTTTCATATTTTTTCTTACCTCAGTCTTAAAAACAACAATAAAAAATATGTCTTCAAATAAGTCTATAAATTTCTTTTGCTTCCCCTGAGTATGACTAAGCAGGTATATATACATTTAGAGCTTGGAAGCAGAGAGACTTGGGCTATAGTTTGGGCATATATTAGCTACGTGGCATTAAGCAAGTTCTCTAACTGCTGAAAGCCTCAGTATCTCCATCTGTATAATGGGAATAATAAAACATATGTCATGGTAGCACGAAGGGATGATTGGGGGGTAGGTCTTGACCTCCATATAATTTTTTTATCAGTAAGACATCCATTCTTTGATATAGACAGTTGATATTACATCAATTTAATATTAAAATTACTATGCAAATGAGCTTTGTGGTAAGCCATTCCATCACCCCTTTCCAATCAGACACCACCCCTAAGCCATTCTTAACATAGCAATGTTGGAGCAGCTACTGTTGGGATAGTTAAAAGAGTTAATGATTATAAAGCACTTAGCAAAGAGCCTGGCGCATGGTAAGTGCTCACTAAGTGGTAGTTATTATAACAGTTATTATAGGATAAAATGTACTATCTGATTTCCTCAAACTGATCATCATAGTCAAATAGCATCTAGTGTCAGGGTAAGGAAGTTGGGTCATTCCAGCTTGATTGATGCTAAGTAGGAATTGGCTTCTGAATGAATTCCATTCAGTTCAGTTCAGCAGATACTTGTTGAGGGCCCCTTATATACAAGACACAGGAATATCTTCCCTTTCAGCGGGTTCTTGCTGCTTTCATGGGAGACAGCAGTGTGTGGGGAGGATCAGGCAGGCTGAAGGGGCTGAAAAACCAAAGCAGGTTTGTGGGGATCCTTCCCCATTTCTGGAGCTTCTGCTGGCCAGCAGCCTTCTTGTCCATCATCTCCTCAGCGGGTCTAGGTTTGTCTTGTCCCACCCCTCTTCCTCCTCCTCTCACTTTCTGTTGGGGGAATAGGCTGAGGAGCCCTGGCCGCAGACTGTGCAAAGCCACCTGTCCAGCTGAAAGATCTTAAAATTAAGATGAGTTCAGAGACATATTAGGAATGAGCAAATAATAAGTCCACTGGGTCGTCTAGGGGGAGAAGGATCTCTGAGTACATTTCAGTCTTGTAAGAAACCTGGATTGATCAATTCAAAAGACAAAGTCTACTCTTTTTCTGAGATTTGTGAATGGGGTCGAGGATGTTGGCAAAAGCCAGTAGGATCTGGGATAAGGAGCTCAGGGTCTATTAATTCATCCCTGGGTTTTCCATTAGTATTTGCTTAAGAGTATGGTGGAGCTCATGAAATACATTTGATAGAAAAGCCTGCCCCACCTTCACAACTGGCCTTCTTGCCTAGTTTCTTATCAGCAGAAGGTGACGAGAGCCTGTTTACCTGCCCAGGGTTAGTAAAACCCTCTCTTTAGCCAGGAGGGAACTCCAAAAGCTAACAAGGAAAGCCTTACTGGGAGGAGGTCTTTATTCATAAAATGGATTTAACTAGGCCCAGGAGAGTTTGTGTGGGGATGGGAGAGATGGAGGCCACTGGAAAATATTTTGAGGTTTCTCGCAACTCTATAGCTCTAGAAATCAAGTGGCCTCTCCAGGGGAGAGAGATTAGAGCAGCCAGAAGTTACAGGTAAAGTAGTCTAGCTATTTAGAATCTACATGTAGACTCCCATCTAGTGATCAACAATAAGTACTCAGACTAAGAGAGGGGGACACAGAAATGAATGGCTTAAGAAGCCATCCATATATTTGTTGAATACTTACAAGAGTTTGGTGGTACAGTGTTAGGTTGGTTTCAGCTGCAGATACATGGGAACTTTTGTTAGTTTAAAGGAATCTGTATAGGAATGCTCTAGAGATAAAAATGCAAAGCTTTTTTTTTTTGGAGCTTTGGGAATAATAAGCATGAGTGGTTTGAGAGGACATATTTTCTTATATGGACCTGAGGTCAGTATTTAACATTCTTGGATTTAATCAAACCCATTGGTTCCAGTGTATAAGGGGAGAACTTACCCCTGCCCACACCAGTTGTAGGCCTTCATATTTAGTGCATGGCTCTTTCAGCACTTTTTACCTCATGGCAATGTTCTTTTTCCAACCCAAATCTCATTATTCAGGGGCCTGCTGGTTTTCCCCTTTTGCTGGGGCTCTGCTATGAGTTCCTGATCCCAGGGTAAGGGGAAATGTCTTGCGATGTAGACATGCACGTGAAGCACTGGGGGCCTTTGTGCTGGGTGCTACTCTCCTCCCCTCAGAGGCTCTCCAGGGCACCATCTCCGGGATCCCTGTTGGAAAGGATGGTCAAGTTGGTCTTTGGGTGCCCATTGAATGACTGTTTATGAAAGTTTTGCTGAATTTGGTTACTTGTCAAATTTGATAGCTCTGGCAATAAGCTTTAAATTTAAAATGAGAAGTAATTTCTAATAAACAATTGCAATTCCTCAGATTTAGTCACATCCAAAAATTTAAATGCACTGAGTTAGAACATATTAGGTTAAATACACATTAAGTTAATAAAGGAAAGAAGGAACAGGAATTCTGGGCCCTCCTTACTTTTACTAATTAGGAAAGGGAATCAGGATCCTGAGCTTGGAAGGCTTTGTGATTTGTCTGGGGCCCAAAGTATGGGGCTCTGACCCCAGGCACCACTCTGCTGGCTGGGGAATCTGCCTGCCTCCTTGCCTTCCAAGCGAGTGGCAGTCCTATGAGACTGCTCTAGATAAAGGCCATGATAAGAACCTATATTAAAAACAAACGTATGATATATATACATAATTCCTGTTGTTATTTTGCTTAATAACATGTACTAGAGCAGTGGTTCTCAATCTTCCTAATGCTGCGACCCCTTAATACAGTTCCTCATGTTGTGGTGACCCCCAACCATAAAATTATTTTCGTTGCTACTCTATAACTGTAATTTTGCTACTGTTATGAATCGTAATGTAAATATCTTTTTGTTTTCCGATGGTCTTAGTCGACCCCTGTGAAAGGGTCGTTTGACCCCCAAAGGGGTCGCGACCCACAGGGTGAGAACCGCTGTACTGGGGAAAAGATACCTCATTTTACTGTCACTTCATCTTTCTTTATACTACCTTTTGATATGTTTATAAGATACAGATTACTTTAAATGTCCTTATTTTGTGTAATTTGGCTTTCACTTTTTGTTGTTGTTGTTGATGATAACATTTTTAAAGGGCATCTAAACTTGAACGTAACAACGGTTTTCTTGGAGAGGAAAGATGTTTCGTTCGTGATAACCTCCCATTTCTTACCAGACTAAGCTTTCTTTGTGGGATCCTCTGTTACTTTGTTTCGATACGCAGAAACCCAAGGCTTTGTAGCAAGGGTAAAAGAAAAAGAATGAGGCCATTCTAAAGTTGAACAGACCTCTGATACTTCTAGTTGTGTTTGTCCCCAAACTGCTAAATATGTGCTTGTTAGAATTCTTTCTGTTTATGAGTGCAAAAACCAGTTTAATCTAGATTAAGCAATAAAAGTAATTTATTAACTCCTAACTAAGGAGTTTGAGGGGTGTCCTCTAGCTTCAGGCATGGCTGGATCGAGCTCTTTTCTCTAACTCTTAGCTGTCTGTGTGTTGACATTATTGGTAGGTATATTGTCCACATGGTGGGAAAGATGGCTCCTAACAGCCTCAAGTTTACATTTTTATGGATTTTAATTCCTAAGAAAGAAAATTTCTTTCTTACTAAATGCTCATATAAATCTCAGGAACAACTCTTTTTGATCCTGCTTGAATCATAGGCCCAATTCTGCACCAATCACTGTGATCAGCATGGGTTATGTGACCATTTCATATGGCAGGTAAGGCCTGGCAATTGACAGCATTAAATGGACGAAATGGCAGGATATGTGTCTGTGTGCTGGGGGCAGTTTTCCAAAGGGAAACCAAAGTGTTGTTACTAGAAGAAAGATAAACGTGGAGACAAAAGCAACAACCTGCCATTCTAGGACACAGCACCTTCATGAATTATTTATGATCTCTGTGGGGAAAGGGCTTACCAAACCCCCTTTTCCTTTTTCATGAGAATTTAAACTTTGGTTAACTTTCTGGCTCTGTGTCCCCACAAACAAGATGAAGATACAATATTAACTGTTACTAAGCAGCATTGCTTATGATAAAAATGACCCCTAATCGGTAAATTGCATCTAGATTCGTAGGAACTACACATGAACTACAAATTCTGGAGAGGAAAGGCATACTTTGGGCTTCTCTGAGTGCAGTGACTCTTGTAATTAACTGAGCATGTCCCTTGTGGGGACCTGGAAGTGATGTCCAAGATATTGTTACAAGAGATATTTGTTCTTATGGAATACCAGCCTCTAAGCCAGGGTGGCTCCCCCACTTGCCCAAAGTGGATCTTGTCACCTTGCAAAGAGCTATCACCTGGAGGGCCAAAGACAACAGTTTCGAAATAACTGTGTGGACCAGTGTCAGAGGAACAGCTAACACTGCACTGACAAGTGGTGGCTCATGTCCAACATCCTCTGAGTAGATTGGTGCCAAGTGTGGCCTGTGATCCTTTTGTGACTCTGAAATGTTTAGTTGAACCTTTGTTTAGTCATTCTCCTACTTCTGTGAGATCGGGCAGTTGCTTTAATGAATCCCTGATAGCGAAAGTTTACGGAAACTCAACACAAACTACTTTAAGGAAAAAAAGAAAGACTTTATTGTTTCATTCAACTAAGAGCTTCAGGCATGAGTAACTTTAGGTATGTATGAGTTAAGGAGCTCAAATGAAGTCATCAGGGCTCTTTGTCTTTTCTTTTGCATTTTTCAGTTCTGCTTTCCACTCTGTTGGCTTCATTCTTAGGTGGGATCTCCTTACCAGTGGCAAAGAGAGCTACTGACAGCTTAGCCGATGATTCTAGAGTAAAAATAGAATATGCCAAAAAGATATCATAGGATTCTCCATCCCTGAACCAAAAACACTGTGACTCAGGGTCAGATAGTGGAAGAGGCAGGAGCCTATAATTAACAGCTCCACACATAGGACACAGGGACTCTTCTCCAATGGAAAAGATGGTGGCCAGGAAACAGGTCATCTGTGCTTTTTTTCTCCTGTTCCAGTGCATTAATAGCCTTTTAAGGACTTTTTCCACCATTTATTGTCACCTGCCTTCCCAACCACAAACACACTCATGCTGAGTTATGTACCCCCATATGTATCCCTTACCAGCTCTCAGTTACTGCATTTCATTATAATTACTTGCTTATATGCCCATCTTCCCTGTTGGACTCGGAGCTTCTTGAGGACAGGGCAGTATATTTTTCATCTTGGCCACTCGGCTTAGCACAGTCTCTGGCATATACATTGGTGCTTAATATTTGCTGAATAAATGAGTGAATGACTAATAAGGATGTGTGACTAAATGTTTCCCTCCTTTTTGTGATTTGTTTATATAGACTTTTATCTGTTGTCACTATTTGCAGATATTTATATAAGCCAGACACAAGAATTTTTGGTTTGTCATTTCCAAAGAACTGTTCACGGCTCAAGACTAGATTTTGCTCTTCAATTAGGTGTCTAACTTAGAAGCAGCAAACCGAGGCCCCAAGCAGTCTCTGTTTCTTCCCTTTGCCGTTCCTTAGTGATTTAATGAGGATGATGACTGGTCAGACCTTCAAACTTTGAAGGGTGGGGGATATATGCCTCATTGGCAACATATCTGGCTCAAGAATGAAGAATTAGGTAAACTTTTTGGTGCCAATTTGTTTCTCTAGCCTCCATGCATGCAGGAATACAGAGCCCTATAGGGCTGATCCCTGTAGACATTTGGTTTTGTTTGTTTGTTTGTTTTTGTTGCCATTTATCATTTCAGCATTTTTCTTTCCCTTTTCTTCTAGTTTTTGAGGAACCATGAGCTGTTATCTCAAGTTAACAGTGATCATGATCTTTTGATTACCCTGCTTTAGCAGGAAATCAGATGACAAATCTTAGATTCAGGAACTTTCTTCTAGAGGCTTGTATCTTTTTCGCATTTCAGACATCTTGCTCAGCTTTTAGTTAATAACACACCCAAAGAATTTGTGTGTTTTTTTTGAGTTGAAGAAAATACTTCTGACTCATTTTGCCACCCCAACTTCCTTTTTCTTTTTTTAAATATCTCGAGTTAGAAAAATGTAAATTTCTAAGAGTTTTTCATTTTTCTTGATGGCATTTTGGCTATTGCAGATGCAATCTCCTTTTACAATGTGAAAAATTGGAGAAATTACCATAATTAGAAAATTCTACGTTTGAACTTTTCTTCCCAACAAATCACACCTAAACATTCCTCTTACACTGTGTTCTCTGGGTAATGCCTGCTTTCTCCATTCCATTTCATATAGATCTATTCTTAAGGGTTTCCCTGTTGATTCTTAGTGAATGTTGGAGATTAAACAAATGAGCACACAAGCAAGACCTGAAAAGGAGCAGTGGATAAAATGTCATGTCTAAATGAGCCACGTAAATATTGAGCCCTGGAAAATTTCTGCTTCAGACATTTTTATCAGTAAGGCAAGGCTTAGTGTGTGATGTGCAGGAGTCTGACATAGGTCTGGCACATAAAAACTTCCCAGTAAATATTTGAGTAAAAGAACTATCCAATAAACACAGAAAGTTGGTAACATTGCTATATTCGAAAGGGAATCTTGTTGTCTGGCTGTGAGGTGGCACCTACCTAAATACAGGGGAGGACCATTTCTGAACAGTGCTTCTCTGCCCCGATAAAAATGATTCTGTGCTGATATGGAGTTCCAAAGTTTGGGGCCACAGCTCAGAGCTGGATCTGGTTTGGAGTGAGATTGTTATCACCTTCCCCTAAGAGCCTGGACTGCTATGAAGTACCATCTTGGCTTCCTCATCACCCTCAAAATGCTTCCTGCTTTGTCATTTGTCTTGCCTGTTCAATAAGTATGTAATAAAAGCTGGAGGTTTATGATTGATTTTCAGAAAGGAAGAAAACCATTTCTTTTGGCAGCTGAGAGGGGCCACGTTGAAATGATAGAAAAGCTTGTCTCCCTTAATCTGCATACTTCAGAAAAGGACAAGGTGAGTTGGACCTTTATTTCTTTAAAGAACAACAGAAAGGGAAGTGATGACGTTTTGGTCAGCAGTACAGTTGTTTAGTTGTTACTATAGTCAGTGAGAATCTTGGACTAGCCACATGAAATGAATCCATTTTTGCAGTGGATTGCCCAGAATGCCAATTTTTGCTCCATAAATGGTTGTGAAGTCAATATGACTACATGAATTCTTTTCCACTGTCAACACCAGTCCTCTCTTTTCTTCTCCTGAGGTCTGCTGGAAACCTGATGGGGGAGGGAAACCCTGGATGGACATTCATATCTATATATACATCCTTGGTTATTTTCTTAGGAGAAATTCCTAAATATAGAATTGCGGGGCAAAGAGTTCTGCACATTTTTAAATCTTTTGGTATACATTGCTAAAACGACCTCCCAGAAATCTTTCACCAGTTTACCTTCACAAAGGTTATATGGAATTACTTTCATTGTCCCACTTGTTTTTAGTAGTTTTTTTTATTTTTCAGTTTCAGTTGGTGTACAATAATAAATTAGTTTCAGGTGTAATACCGTGTTTCCCCGAAAAGAAGACCTAGTGGGAGAAGAAGACCTAGTGGGAGAAGAAGCCCTAGCATGATTCCTCCAGGATATGGAGGGCATGTACCCCTCACATGAGGGTTTTATGATCTGTTTCAGGGAGAAGGGTGCCTTTTCCACAAACTCCTTCAGCTTAAAATATTCAGTATGCCAAGGTGCCATATTTTGGCGCCTAAAATCATGCTACGGCTTATTTTCTGGCTAGGTCTTATTTTGGGGGGAAACAGGGTATTGTCCCACTTTTTGCTAGCAAATTAGCAGCAAAGATTGAACAAAGAGTGTGGAGGGTTTTTCCTGCTGGTTCAAATAGCTACATGGTTTCATTTAAAACTTAGGAAAATTATAAATTTCACTTAAAATTGTGGATAATGTGGGCCACACTCTGGACCACAGCTTTAACCAAATGAAACCTCCCAGAAGCCCCGTTGCAGCCTGACCAGTGGAGGGGTGTGTTCCTCAGTGCAGGGGACTCTGCTGCGAGTGTGTCTGTGTTGCAGGAGGGGAATGCAGCCCTGCACCTCGCTGCCAAACATGGTCACAGCTCTGCGGTACGGGTGCTGCTAACCCTGTGGCAAGAAGTAAACGAGACCAATGAGGTACGTGGAGGTGCTCATTACAGGTGGGCATGGGGCTCACAGTGGAAGGTGGGAGGAATGGCTTTCAGAAAAGGAATGGGAGGAAAACAAAGATGTTAGTGCCACGGGGTGTAGAATGTGATGCTAAAAGATTCCTGCTTTTCTCTTAAAAGTAACCCACAGCAATTCATTTGTTAATCCATTTATTTATTCACCCATTCATCCAAAAATATTTCATATGTGCTCTGTGCTAGGTAGAGTATGTATTCTTATTCTAGAAGCCTACAGGGCAGGAGGGGCATGCCAAAAATAATATAGTGGACTAAATGCTTGATAGATGTATATACAGTATGCTGTGGGGACACAGAGGAAAATCTGTTTCAGAAATTAGTCTTCACAGAGGAGGTGATATATTATCTAGGTCTTGGCATTTAAATGGACATAGGTAGGAGGAGGTTTGAGGGGGCCACAAGCACAGAGTATTTCCGACAGAGGGAAGAGCCCACATGAAGGAACCGAGACATGAAAGAGCATGGTGTGACCTGGGAATGACAAGTTCAGGATGGCAGAAATTGAGGACCAGTGGGCTGGGAAAGGTGTGTGCTGAGTGGGCCAAGGCAGGGAGGTAGCGAAAGGCTGTGCTTACCTGAAGAGGGTCTGGCTCTGAACTTTTGGCAGCAGAGACCTTGATGGATTTTAAGCAGCAAAGAGGGATGGGATCCATCTTGGGTGCAGGCAGGTAAATGTCATGGTGATTTAAAGGGGGGATTGGTGCCTGGAGAGACTGAAGCAAGAGCTATGGAAAGCCCCTCACCAAGATCCTCACAGGCAGCAAACAGGATGAGGTGAAAGGACGCAGGAGCCACATGACTTGGGACCAGGGATTAGGGGGATGCAAGACTTTCTGACCCCCAGCTCTCTGGCTTGGACTTCTGGGATGGTGGTGTGCCCGTCTCTGAGTTGTGGAGCACAGGGGAGGAGCAAGTGACAAGGTCAGTAAGAAGGGTTTGTATGGATTTCACTTTGAGGGACCTTGGGCAGGAGAGGGGGGCATATTCAGGTGGAGAGCAGTAGGGAGAGAGAAGCTGGGTTTGGGGTTCATTGGAGAGGCTGTGGCTATAAAGGCGAACTTTTGAGTCATCTGGTCTGAGTAGTCACTTTTTTTTTTTTTAAGATTTTTATTGGGGAATTGGGGGAAGGGAACAGTGCTGGGGAATTGGGGGAAGGGGAACAGACAAGTTGCTGTCCTTTTGTTCTTCAGTCTAGTTGTGGAGGACGTTGCTTCACTGATCCAAGCTGGCACTATCATTGCACTCTTCCCGGGTGAGGCAGATCAGTCACCGACCTCTGGATGGCCGCTCACGGCAGCTTGAGGGCCACTCACGCTGGCTGCTGGCTACACACTGTAGCTTATGGCAGCCCACTGCAGCAGGGACTGCAGCCTACGCCGTCACCAGTGATCCATGGCAGCCCAGCTCCAGGTTGAGCTGTTGTTCACCATCTTAGCTGTAGAGGGCAGTGTCACTGGCCCTCATTTGTGGGATCTGAACTGGGGCCCTCTGGCGTCAAGCCAGTTCTTAACCAACGCGCCACTTGGCCAGCCCAGTAGCCACTTTTTAACCTTTGGGTCAATGAGTTTTGGGCTGGTTCTTTGGAAACTCAGGTGAGTAGAGTCCTTTTGGACTTCATAGTTTAATGTTCTAGTACATTCTAAACTTGGGACCTCTCCTGAGAGATAGTATAAGAAGTAATACACAGTCATTTCAGACACCATCGATTTTAAGGCACATCATTATTTTATGTAACACTAAGAAAAAATGATTCTGCCAATTAAACTATGACAAAAAAGCTTTCTTGCTATTTGGAATATTTTGTACCTATTGAAAGAGTGATTTTTGGGCCGGCCAAGTGGCGCGATGGTTAAGAACTGGCTTGGGATGCCAGAGAGCCCCGGTTTGGATCCCACATATGAGGGCCAGTGACACTGCACCCTCTACAGCTAAGATGGTGAACAACAGCTCAACCTGGAGCTGGGCTGCCGTGAGTCGCTGGCGAAGGCGTAGGCTGCAGCCCCTGTGGCAGTGGGTTACCATGGGCTACCGTGTGTAGCCAGCAGCCAGCGTGAATGGCCAGCAGCCGCAGTGAGCGGCCGTCCAGAAGCCGGCGACTGATGTGCCTCGCCCGGGAAGAGCGCAATGATGGTGCCAGCTTGGGCCTGTGAAGCAACGTCCTCCACAACTAGACTGAAGAACAAAATGACAGCAACTTGTCTGTTCCCCTTCCCCCAATTCCTCAGTGCTGTTCCCATCCCCCAATTCCCCAATTAAAAAGAAAAAGTGTTTTAGACTTTTACCTTAGATTTCTTATCATACATATATAAAGAACAAATATCCAAGATAAATTGGTTAAGTATTCCTATACTTAACAAATTGAGTCTGATTCTTCAGAATCACTTTCTTATTTAGTGTCTTGATGTCCTTGCTTTTCCAAACAAAATATTGTCCTCTGCGCCTTCAAAAGTGCTTGTGATGCAGCATTTCTTCAAAGGGTGCCCACTATCATTTCTAAGATCATCTTCTAAGCCAGTGGCACCCATTCTGCTTTAATGCACACCACCAGCAATGAATGGCAGCTCTATCATGTCTGCTGCCTGGTTGGTTGAGATGGTAAGATGTGCCTGATCTCAGATATGTTAACATGCAAAATAATGTGTGACTTAGAATTGGTGGAGTATGGTCATAAAAATTGCAACTGTGGGCAATATAATGAAAACTAAAGGCTATGCAAATGAGTGTGTGTGATGCCTGGGACAAGTCTGTACTCCCTTTGGACCAGGGAAGCACATCGACCTGGTTCCACATATCCCTGGACCTGGGCACGCAGAGATTAAAAGCAGGGCTCTGACTGCTCAGGGCCGATCCTGGCTGCATCACTCTGCTAGCTGGATGATCTCAGGCACGTTACTTAGTCCCTCTCAGCTTCAGTTTCCTCAGCATAAAATAGCTGAGACCACACTGAGGTTTAAGTGGAAAGGCCACGTCACACATTTAGTACAGAGAATAGTGCCTGGCATGTGGTAAGTGTGCAGCAAGCGCTATCTGGGTGCAATAAGTGGGATCTTGGTTATCCATGGAATATATTATTATCACCCCCATTTTTTTCTCTTCCAGTTCCTGGGAGAATGAAACGCAAGCTTTCAGTTGAGGATCATGGACAAAAATAGAGCCATTTATTTTTATGTGTGTGTTCGTTCTTTTTTGCACATCTGGCATGATGCTCAAGTTTAATTGGTTTAACTTCCTTAAAGAAGATCCCAGGAATTTGGCCTTCTTGAACGAAAGTTAGGAATGATGTGTTAGAAAACTCAGAAAGAATATGAATCACTTAGGTAAATCGTAGGCATGATTGGCTATCACAAATCAGTGTAGAGATGGAGTCCTGTAGTCACAGGATTTAATTTAAAGTCTTAGTTGTGCCTGCCCTGTTCTGTTTTAATACTTTACCACTGGAATGTGTGCATGTGGATTCCATCTACCTTTTAGCTATTTTTGAGTCAGGGCACATTGGGGAGAACTTATACCGTCCAACAAACTGTAATTACAGATTATGATAGGTTTTATTTGCACAGTGTCTGGTGATATTAACCTTTGGATAAGGCCCATAATGTTCATACAGCCTTGGGCTGCCTCTGTTTCCTGCTGGGAGCTATTGCCAGAGTGGCTGGAGTGACCCACGTGAATATGCTTGAGAAGTTATCTCCAAACATTCTTGGTAGCAAAACTCATGTCAGTAAAGAAGGTCTGAGCATGCACCTATCACATATTCAGGATTGTCTTGTATACCTCTGATGTGTTTTATCTCTCTCTCTCTCTCTCTCTCTCTCTGTATATATATATATATTTTTTTTTTAGTTGCTGCCCCAAACTCATTTAGTTTATTTCAGTTTTTTTTTGTTATGTGCTATCATGAACCTCTTTGTATATAAACCTTAGTTTGAATTCCTCACTATTTCCTTTGGGTACATTTTTAGAGGTAGGATTTTTAGGTCAAAGATATGAATATTTATTAGGTTCTTGATCTGTTAAAGATGTGAATTCTTTCCTTCACATTTTTTGCAATTATTTTTCCACTGGGGTTTGCCTTTTGGCATCTCTTTTCCTGGAAAAATGAGAAGGTAGATTATGAGGAGAAATTCCTTTGTAACATGTGGCTGTCCGAGGCACTCAGGTAAAACAGCCTGGGATACAGTTTTTCCATCTTATTGGGATGGGAACATTGGCTCCTTGCTCTTGCATCCCTATTAACATCATTGTTTGTATCTAAGTTGCTAGAGTAAAACTTTCCGAATGTATGTTAATGCAGTTGTTAAGAATGTCATTCTTAACATCCAACGGGGGAAATTGTTAGGGAGTGGGGAAGAAATTCTGCATTCCTTCCCAATATTTTTAGGAAAGAATCTGTGTGAGGAAGGGAAAATATCCAAGTAGCTATTGTGTGAGACCAGTTCCTTCTTTTCTCCCTTTGTTTGGCCTAAACTAAACTCACGTTGTCCTACTCATGCGTACTATGAGTTTCAGGAAACTGAATTACTGAGATAGTGTATTACTTTTTTTTAAAATGACATACGTTTTCAATCAGTTTTAAATTTAAAGCTGTACTTGGTACAAACGTGCTTCTATTTTTGTTCATTTCACTGCATTATAATTCCTTATTTTTGTGATTATCTTTTCTATCAGGGCTGTTACCTTTTTGTGACAGGGTCTGTATCCTGTTGGTTTTTCTAATTCCCAACGCCTAGTAGTGTGTGACAGATAGTAGGTGTTTGTTAGAAGTGTTTGCTAGATAATAAAGATTAAGAGTATGAATGGTGGAGGGAAAGTCTGAAAGGAGGCAACATAATAAAGAGTGTAGGTTTTGGAGCCACACACCTGGACTTGCAACCTAGCTTTGCCACTTTTCAGCTGAGGCTTAGTTTTTTACATGTAAAATGGGGATACTATTAACCCTCATCTAATAGGGTTGTTGTGCAATTTAACTGTGCCGAAGCATATAGCATTGGCAATATATGTTGGTACGTAGATGCTTAATAAATGCTATCCATTATCAAGAGCCATGCACAAAAATATATAGAGAAAGCGCAGTGGTTCTCCGGTAGTTTCATTCCATGCCAAGAGGCAATTAATTTTAACTTTCTTTTCCCTTTTGTTAGAATGGAGAAACACCATTCTTCCTGGCTGTTGGAGGAGGTCATGAAGAATGCAGCCAAGTGCTACTGGCAGCCGGAAGTGATATCAACATTCCAAATAAAGTATGTGCTCCATGCCATGTTCACTCATGCCGTGGGAGGGGGACTCAGAAGGCTCTTTGGGTTATCTGGTCTGAGTTGATCCACTCACCATGTTTTTGTAGAATTAATATTTATAGTTTGCTTTGGGTAAGAATTAGTGACTTACCGCTGATGTTCCCCAATTAATTTCTCCTCAGAAACAATGCCATTCTTCCTGTTTATCTGGGGAAGGAATAATTGGAAATGGTACAAACTGAGCAGCTAGTTATTACTTCTCAAATACAGAGACACCCTTACTCTGTTTTGTTTTCACCCTAGCAACTAGTACATGCCTGGCTTATACATAGTAGATGCTGAAAAAAAAATTAGTATGAAAGCCCAGTAGACAGTCTGGAACCCAGAGGACACAAGATGGTGCCTTCAGATACACAATACTTTGGTGCTAAGATCGTTTGACACCTATCTTCATTTTTTAGATGAGAAAGTTAGAATTTAGAAAAGTTAAGGAACTCATCCAGGATCATATATATGACTAGTCAATGGCTGTGCAAGGATTCAGGCTCAGTGCCTGAGCTTCTGACTGCCGCAATGGCCTTGTCTTCAGATAACTATCTTTCTTTTTCTATTTTTCCAATTTTAAATTATAATGAAAATAACAAAAATATTTGAATAGTACCCAAGGGTCGATGATGAAAAGTGTCTTATTCCAATTCCACATCTCAATTTCACCTCCCCAGAACTAAATTATTAATAATTGATTTAATCTTGCAGGAATTGTCCATGCATTCACATGGAAAATATGATAAAACACATGCACATGTACATAACTACATTATGTGTGTGTGTGTATTATATCTCTATCTCTATCTAGTTTTTTTTTTTTTTTTACGCTGAGCCATCCTGCCACCTGTTGGCAGCTCAGCGGCTGCTCAGCTCGGGCCGGGCATCGAACTGCTGTTGCTCAGAGCTCAAACTCTTGAGCGA